GAAATGTAAATGACATCATAACTTCTCCTCAGCTGCCGGTTAACCTAGCCGATCTTTGACCCACTTTTCTCCAGAGTGTCGCTACGTTTCTGCATTTTCTGTTATCTCTTCTATTATTTTCTTCTCTTTTCCTTCTTACCGCTATTTTTTATTTTTCTTCTTCGTGCTACCGCTATTTTTATTTTTATTCTTCGTGACAGGGGTTCGCTTTGGCCTGGGGAGTCAAGTTCAGCATTCGCTTCATTGATATCTGGCGCCATCTAGTGTCGTGAATGGGTATAATGTCTAGACCCCGAATATAAGACGACCCCTACTTTTTTCAATGCAAAAAACACCGTCTTGTATTCGGGCCAATACGGTATATTGGTTCAATGAAAAACACACATGCGCATATTTTGTCCGGATCGAAAATGGCGATCATACTCGGGACGCTATGATGTGAAGGGCAGACTGTCAAATGCTCAGATGCCGTGACTTTGATGCTTGCTAAACTAAGGCACCCTGCGATCCCGTAAGATTCACTGACACGGCGATATGATGATGCCTTGGCCGTTTTTCACGTACTTGAATGTTTTCTGCTCCATTTCTCTTGCGTACAGGATTGCATTAGCTGCTAAACTCAGAGGGATGAACTTTTGACTGTCTGCCATTATTTTGGCCTTGGGGGAGGGTTGGCGAATCTACTTTGTGGTTCTTTTGGGAATTGCATCAAAACATGAATATGAGCAAAGAGCTCACGTTGCTGGAAAATAAAATGCAGGCGTACAGTTTGACTTTCTGGAGCCTACCTCAGCTGGCATTGGGCGAGAGGCAACGCACACCCTCGGACGGATCGCCAGCCAATCATGAAGGAGATGTAGACAACCAACCATTGCCAGCAGTTTTTAAGTGGTCCACAATCGGTCAACAATTTTAAAGGTTTCTGCTTGCGTCCTGACTCCTTGTCATTTGTTTCTAGGTGACCATTTGGGAGGCACTGACCAATAGCAAGCCTGGAACACACCCCCTCTCTTGTGATCCAAGTCGCCTGGAGAGGTCAGCCTTAAGTTCCATCAATAAACACGCATTGGTCTGTCTTTCTCCACATACCCAAGTGCACTTATCAGGAAAAAAAAGGATCAAATAAACCTTTCACAGTAAAGAACTGTGCATCCTGCTCCCTTTACCAACCTTGTCTCCGACTTCCTGTCACTGCTCTGCGCTATTGTTTCTTTTCGTACTCTTTTCATCTTTCCTTCCATCCCTGACTCACATCCTGTATTTTTCTCGTCGCGCACTCCTGTCTTAACGCGCACGCGTGTGTTTGGAGAGCGAGTGGGGGGAGAGATGACAGTTTCCTGCTTTCAGTCTACAGATGTTGACTTTGTCTTGTTATCTTTTCTCTGGCTGTCTTCCTTGTTTGGAGACTGCCGGATGGACACGCACAACTTCCTCTTCCTCCTTCTCACTTCACACGCTTGCCCCAGCAGTTCTCATTCTCCCACAGACAGAAAACTCAAGTCAACATTTGTATTCCTGCCCCCCAACCCCAAAAAAATCTTCTACCAGTGACTAGACAACATCTCTTGTCTCGCCCTGCCTAGGATCCCCCAAACGAAGCCTCGCTCCCCTTCCAGCCGCTCCTCAACCCCCTCCAAGAAGCTGCAGTCGAGCAGCTGCAGCTACGACCGGCAGCTGCGCATCGCCATGGAGATGTCGGCTCGGGAGCAAGAGGAAGCTGAGCTGCGGCGACGGAAGGAGGAGGGAGAGCTGCTGCACATCATCCAGCTGTCGCTCATGGAGAAGTGAGCCGGCCAATGGGTCAGTGAGGTGGTTAAAACGATGTAAGCACAAAAAAAAAAAAAAATTAAAGAAAAAAAAAATATGACTGTTGTGCTTTCACAGCCATCCATGACTCAGCTTTCTTGCAAAGCCATAGGATGATGATGCTGATGTCAAGATAATTGACACCGGTATTTCCTCTCCGCATGGCACTTCTTTCCCAGTGCCAGTTTACAAATAACAATGGTACCCAATACCTGTTTGGACAAAGGTCTCAATCAGCTGGTGGAAGTGAACGTTGAACCCTTTGTCCCATAATACTGTTATGATAATGGAGAAAAAAAAGGAAAAAAAAAGTTGCTGAGTTGTAGTTAGGTACAGACGCTCCCCAGCTTACGAATGAGATACGTTCCGAAGGATCGTTCGTTAGGTGAATTCGTTCGTAAGTAAGTTGCTTCAGTGCTATATTTTGTATGGAATGTATGTTTAAGGCTTATATAAGTATGTTTAAGGTTTATATAAGGATAATAAAATGAAGTTTAACTTACTTTTGGAAGATGTACTCGAAGGCTTAAGGAGATGATGGAGGGGGAGCAGAAGGAAGAGGAGGATTTTATATCATGGGGCCGAGAGGGTCTTCGTCGCCACTGGAATGGGCTTCAAGAGTTACTTCCTCCTCCGTAACATCAATGAAGGAAGAAGTTGAGGGTCCAGGAGAAGAAGATGAGGGTTGACGAGTATCTTCCTTGGAGGGTGTAGTGGAAACTGGCCGAAAGAAGCGATCTAACGACAATTGCACAGTGTTCTTCTTTTTCTCATCATAAATGATGCAGTAGCACTGTATGGCATCATTCATTTGATTTGCAACCTTTGTGCAACGTTCAATATTTGGGTCTTGCTGCTCGAAGAGTGCGATGGCTTTATCTATGAGCGAAAACCCCTCGGCCAAGAGTTCCGTCTCAAACTTCTTCATGGGGACAGGCGTTTCCTCCTCCTCCTACTCCTCTCACAGCGCCACACGTCGGTATTAGCGGCGGAAAGAAGTACTACAGTACTCGGAAAAAGGCGCGCAATACAAAATCTAACTTACAGTATCTCTGTCCAAGAACATTTTTCGACATACCTGTACCCGCAAAAATGTTCGTATGTACCGTTGTTCGTAAATCGGGGAGCGTCTGTACTTGTGTTTTTACTTGCACAAAATCCAAATGTACTGTATTTACACTGTGGCTGGAATTAAGACGTTTGAGGTGACAAGCCGGGGCACAAACTAAACCGCAGGAGCACAGGTATGATTTTTCCGATGACATTCAGTGTACTGCAATCTGATGTGAGCCAGTGCAGGAGTTGTATCAAACATTGTGATTTTACTTTGAATCAGTCATGCCGTTTTGATATCCGTTAGTTTGACACAATTTAATCACGTACAAGTTTGCGACCGAAAAATCAAGGACTTTATTTTTTCATTGTGTAATTGCTGAATGGCTTGTCTCTTGCCCATAATTAGCGAAATGGGTGAATGGATAATGGATTAATTATTATTTTTTTGTAAAGACACAATGTTGGATGGAACTCTTATATTGGATCTCTGATGTATCCACGACCTACCATCGCCGAAATGCTAATGAAATGATTTTCAATGTCAATAATAACGGAAACGACAGACCTACAGCTTTGATACAGATGCATACATTTGAAGTACTTTTCTCACCAATAGCAGCACAACTTGAGGAGATTCATCCTGCTCCTTTTTAATTCATTCACGAGTATTCCGAAAGTTTTTTTTTTATCACTTCAAATGTTTTTATGGGTATGCTAATCAAATAAAAGAACATCATTTCTTAAGTGTATGTCTCTATACGTGGCAGTTTTTTTTTAAAATTATCGTAAAATATTCTGCAGTTGAAACGTTTATGGTGCAGCTTGTCCCACGGAGAACGATGCGTGTTCCCTGTGTGTGTAGAATCCAAAAGCGTTGACCAAGTGTCTGACATTTGTCTCCAATAGCCAAGAGTGTGAGCAATTTTTACCAATCTGCTTTAGTACTCACAGCTGCCTCACTATTTTGGAGAGAAGTCCTGCAAATTTCAGATCAATTTGCGTGACAACGAATAGTCAATTAAAAGTCCTTTTATCCACTTTGTTTAGCCTATTGGTGTAGATTTGATCAGCAAAACCTAATGAACCACTTTCATCGGCTCCCTACTCCCTCACACTTCAATTCCGATGCTCTCATTACAAAAACACCAAGTGGCGCTTGTGATGTCTTTTTTTCAAATAGACTTTATTATGACATACTTTAATGTCACCCTTTCCTGTTTAAATAATTGAGTGAGAGAGGCCCTGGTGGCCTCTATCGGTGTTTAATTAGCCGCATGAAGCAACAGGGTAAAATGTCAGCACTAACAGACCCCCCCAACCCCCATTGAGACGTGCGGCTGAAGTTCACGCGCAAACTGCATTCTCGATCTTCACAACGACGGTGAAGTGCATTTACTGTCCAGCAGATGGCAGTAGATGTGGGTATGTGCGTGTGTGTGCGTGCCGTGCGAGAGAAGTCACAATCCAGTCAAAACAAGCCAACGGTGTTTATTAACTGCTAAAGCACTGAATTAAAAAAACAAAAACAAAACAAGTATTGAACGTATTCCGCTTTGCCCAGGTTCAATTAAAACATGAATTAAAGACATTTGTGGGAAAAAAACGACAAGAGACCATTGAGCCTCCGTTGACATCAGTGCAAAACATTGTCGTAATAAAAGAATATTATCAAAACGGTAAAGTGCATGTTTTGAGAAAAGCCCTCTTGTTGGAGTTTATACACGTTGCAGTGAAGGTCTGACTCACTTACGCACGCGCTCGCGCGCACAGACACACACACACACACACACACACACACACACACACACACACACACACACACGGCGCACACGATACCAAAAAAAAAAAAAAAAACCAACGCAAACATGGAGTGCGTAGTTCATTGTGTGCATGAAAGGTTGTCAGTCCAGTTCAAACACATCCAGTAGTTGACATGAGGGTCTCTTAGGAACATACTTTAGAATTACCCCTCTCTCTAACACACACACATGCACACACACACTACTGAAATGTTCTCACAATCAGAACGAAAAGATGGGTGTCAGTATAGAAGCATTTCAGTGCAATGTGTGAGAGCATTTCAGTGTATGACATGGAGGTGTTTCAGTTGCGTGAGGTAATCTGGACTTCAAGGGAAAGCCACTGAAGCTTTTATTCAATCATCGATATTCAGTTCAAGGTTGTCTTCATCCATCCGTCCGTTCGCACGATTGGAAGAACCAGTGCGCACCAAAAGAAAAAGTATGTGCTAGTGCCCCAGTTGTTCTACGAGTGAGCCGAATTGTCTTGCTCCTGAGGACAGAGTGCACTAGAGTACATGGCCTTTAAGATATCGAATAAATGCTCAAATGGCGATCCATCGAGTCATGTCACGAACGATTTCCCACACACGCAGTCGTCATTTCATTGCAAACACACCTGTCACACATTCCGTTGGCACACGGTGCCGAGTCCACTCGTGTGCGTTCCAGTGAGGTCACATGGTGTTGTAAAGCAACGTGGCGGTGGCCGCGCGCTGCTTTCTCTCGCTGACTTTCCGCAAACGTCTGGAAGAGTGAGCCCTACCCTGTTGCCGTGACGACGTCGTGAGCGAGCCATCCCCGCCGCCCTCTGTCTCTTCCCGCTCGCTCCTCTCAGGGGAGCGGGACAGCGAGAGGTCTTCGGGGGACAAACGTGTCTTTTGGGGGCTATAGTTCCGCGTGAGAACTTTCTGCTTCTTCCATGTGTCGTCCAAGTGGGATGGTGAGGTGGGGAAAGAGCGGCGGGAGTGCCCTGCCGCCGCCGCCGCCCGGGCGTGCAGCCTCAGGTCAAGGTCGCTGAGGTCATTCGCTGACAATTCCAGGCAGTCCAGTTTAGCCAAGGAGGCCGATCTCTTCATAAGAGAAGGCGGGGTGAGGCCCGCTTGGCGGATGCGAGCCTCAAGCTCGTTGGCGCGGTGCCATCCCGCCTGCTCGGGGAGACTCTTCCTGTCTTGTCTGAGCTGCCGGGCTGCATCCGGGTCGGCGCGGAGCTCCGCTTTCATGAGGTGAGGCGGCCCCGTGTCCGGCACCTCCAGGCCGCCGCCCTCGTGGAGGAACGCCTGCAGTTCTCTCAACGTTTGGCGAATCCTCTCCAGCTCCTGGCTGCCGCGCGCCAGACGCTTCTGGTCGGCGCAGTCAGGATCGCAACTCCTTCGCACACTGAGGGACTCGAAGTTCTCATCGGGGTTCGACTCCTGGATTGTGACACCGTCCAGACTCATTTGGAGCCCGCTGTCTCTTTGGGATTGGGCTGAGGTATGTAGACATGAATCGACTGTTTGCGTATCATATCTTATATGGCTTAGAGGATGTAGTGGAGCACCAAACATGTGGCTGATCGAGGTGTTTTGGAGGTTGGCTGTTTCTGAGCTGTTCAGTTCCTCGGCGGTGGTCTTGCCCTTGGAGCAGCTCGGATGGTCGGAGGATTGGACAGGAGGGTGTTCGCCGCACGGCGAAGGCAGCGGGGAGCGCTGCGCCGCCGCCATCTCCATTTCCTGCCTCAACTTCTGCTCCAGCTGCTCGGTGGCCCGTCGCACGGAGCCGGCAGGCAGGTCACACGGCGGTGGCGAGGGGGACGTCGGCCGCGACTGGATTTTGGGCTCCGCCCCCTCAAGAGGATCCGACCGGACGAGCGGAAGGCCGTGCGAGGGTGGAGGGACGGGCGACGGGGAGGAGGGGGCGGGAGGAGTTAAGGAAGTCGTCGGGTGACATATGGCTTCGATTTCAGTGACGATATGGCGGACTGATATTCCGTTGTCGTGATGAGGCTGATGCGGACTGTCGGGGCTGAGCTTGTCATCGCTAACCTCAGACTGCGGGAAAGAGAGAAGAAAACATCCGGCTTGTGAGTTGACATCACAACCACCGAGTAAATGTCAGGCCGGTAGGGGAGGCCACTTTGTTGAGAAGACATTTGCTTCTCGTCCAGTCAGGTTTGATCCAAAAGTGAACACGTCATGTTTTCTGGCGCTTCGTGGCACAAGTCAACACATGTAAGTCATTCGATGTGTTGTGTTTTTAACCCTCCGGGCTCGATACTGGTCGTTTATGTGCACCACACTGCCTTTTTTTTTTTTTTTAAACAATTTTAGGTGTGTTAGTAAAAATGTAATCATATTTCAAAGGAGTATGGATTTTGGTATCATTTTGTAGCTCTTTAAATATATCAATAATATTCTGTTGACAACAAATTGAACCTTTTGGCGCTATAGTGGACACTTTTAGCCGATTGAAAGCCCTCAAAACTCCATTTTTAATTCATTTTGATTCTAGATGCAACACTTAACGATTATATTTTTTGTGTGTGGTTTGTAACAAATTAGGCCATTTATCGTCTTTTGTCTTGTTTTTTTTTTTTCTGGATGAGAGAGCAATTTCATGTAAGATTTCGAGTTTCCCAAAGAGGTATTTAATGACTTACTGAGCAAATGAGCGAGGCAGCTTTGATTAGAAGTGGAGGAAGCCTCTGCTGACCACGAAGAAAAATTAAACTTTAATTTAAGAAGTGGAAGCACCTTCTGCTAGCTGTAACAAGGCTGTTACTGTACTGGTACTATAAGAGGAAAAAGGTGGCACGGAGAATACATAAAAAAAGGTCATTCATTCATCTTTGATTTCTAAATTGCGCATTGTGAAAAACAAATTTTTAAAAAAAGGTTAGGAATTACAGACAGTCTCCTGGTAGACTTTTACCACTCTACTGTCGAAAGCATTTTCAACAAACTGTATTACGTCACCGTATGCAAACTGCTCTGTTGCGGGAAAAAAAAAAAAAAACACACTACCGAGACTTGTGAAAACTGCAGAAAAAGTCATTCCCTTCCACCATTACGTGACATTGCCAATAGCCGTTATTCCACGAGAGCCAGGGACCATCAGTACAGACACTTCTCACCTCAGTCATCACCTTTTCACTCTTTCGCCCTCAGGAAGGCGATACAGATGAATTACATCGCACACCACCAGATTCATCAACAGCAAGCCATTCGCTCTCTGAATCACCATCATACATCATCGTCACCAGCACATTCCATATGTGGGGAAATGAATCTTTTTTGAAATGTGCCTATTGCCCACAAAGATGACTGCACTTTAATACATTTTCATCGAAGCAATTTTCAATGTTATGTTACATTTTGTGTGGTTGCTGATGATTGAATGTTGCTGTGGTTTTTATGTGGAGGTTTGGGTGGGGGTGGGGCATGTGCAATTTCATTGTGTTTTTATGCAATGACAATACAACGAAACTAATTGAACTCATTCACTCCCAAAGACGTTTTTAAACGTCTTTTCAGACTTGGTCCAGAATTGGCTAGTACTGAATGAGTTTTAATAGGTTTTTTCGAAAATGACGGACAGGACACAAGTCCATTTTCCAAAAAGATCTGTTTTCAAGGCCAGGAAAGCACCTTCAAAACATGATGCTTACGTCTTTGCACAGAAAGGTTTAAACGATAATATTTTAGTTTTGAAAAACGGCCACTTGGAGACTCGTGACCAAACGTTTGCTATTCTCAGGCTTCAAAGCCTTGTTGTTATGACCCTGTTTTTACAGTATGTGTTTTTAGGGTGGCTGGTTGGATGGCGCATGTAATGAGGGGCTCTAGAAATGTGGACGAAAAAACCTTGAAGTGCACCCAACCTACTTTCAACATATACTGCTAGAGAGAGAGAATGAAAATGAGCTGATTCTTTTTCTTCAACCCTCCACTACGGTGTAATGATGCAAGAAAATACCCACCCACCTTTTTTTTTTAAACTATAAACCTATATTACTGTATAGAGACGGCTGAAAATAAAAACAGGTGATACGACTGTATGGAGACACATAAAATTTCTAACCGATATTACTGTTTGGAGACAGGAAAAATAAAAACGGATTGTCACCTGACTTCTGCTGTGTTCACTCTCCTCATCTTCCTCAGTTACTCTGTTCTCATCGCCGTCCAGGGAGGTGGTCTTTTGCTCTGATAGCGTCTGCGTTCTGTCTTCCTGGGCTAAGCCCAGAAACTTCTCCCTGGCGCTGAAGAAGTCGATGCTATCGGAGCTGTGGTTGGACGATGAGCCGTCTGCTTCACTGCGGCCGTCCACTTCGTCGTCGTCGTCGTCGTGAAACTCGCTGGGGTTGTTGTTGTCGTCGCTGTGCCCGGTTGAGGAAAGCAGAGGGATGTTGCCGACCCGGCTGGGCGGGCTGAGTTTCTCACTCTGCAAATCTGATGGCGACTGTTCTGAGGTGTCTGAGGACATCGCCGTGATGGGAGAAAGGTTCGCAGAGCTGCTTTGCTCGGGGAAGTGAAGGAACAGTTCCAGCGGTTTGTTCTCTGTGTTGGCCATCGGTGTTGTCTGAGCCTTGTGAGCACGCTGGACTTCAGGAGTTGGGGGGAGGATGTGGAGCGAGGGGGGAAGCTCGGGAATGATGGCGGGAGCTGAGATGACCGCCTCCGCTGCATTTTTTTCCTCTGGGATGAGCGCGGCCGCGTGCTGTTGTGGCGAGGGGGGCGGGAGGGCGTCGTCGCAAGCCGTTTCGACCGCCACCTCAATTGGCAAGTCGCAGGCATCGTTGCAGTGCATGCGGAGGTCAGAGGTTGATGTGCGGGCGTCATCAGGTTCTGAAACCAGAGCTTGGAGCACAGCCACACCCAGAAAGTGATGCAAGGCAGGGGAGGAATTATTGTTGTTGCTCTGGGAGTCGGAGCGTCCCAGGGAGTGAGATGAGGATTTACATAATTCTGGGCGATCTGACAGATCGCTATCTGAGTGAGAGCGCCATAGTTTATTATGCCTCTGTTTGCTGGGAAAGGACAGAAAAAAAAAAAAAATTCAGAGTAAATAAATGTGAGCACCGATACAGATTACTCGCAGGAATTTTCATCAAAATCCCACCTGGCGAGCAGGATTCCCTGATATTCTTCCAGCTGCTTCATGAAGGAAGGGTTCGGTTTGGTGACGGCTCGTCTCTCCTTCACATATTCAAAAGCGGCGTCCAGCGACCAGCCGTACTCCTTCATCGCGTAGGCGATGACAGTCGATGCCGAGCGGCTCACGCCCATCTTACAGTGAACGAGACACTTGGCACCGGCTTTCCTAGGAGAGAAAAGAACATTGTCGTTTTTAGGCAGCAGCTGGGGGGAAAAGCGAGTGTGTGTATTTGTGTGTGCATGATGGCTGGCTTACTTGGCTTTGCTAATGAACTTGTAAGTTTCGTTCCAGTACTCCAGCAGGTTGGTGGCCTCCTCGTCGTACACCCGGATGTTGTGGTACTCAAACATACCCGGGAAGAAGTTGTCTATCTCTCTCGTCACATTAAGGATGTAGCGGACGCTAGACAAGCAATGGGAAGATAACCTTTAAATCTCATCATCAATTCATATTCTCTGTCCAACGCTTTGTAAATGCCACACAACCAATAAACTATTGATAGATAAATCGAATGCAATTATGGAAATGTTGCTCTTATTCATTGAACATGTGTGACGTTCAGCTTCCTGCTTTGTTTTCTCTTTCTTGAATCTTTGCAACCACTTAGAAAGTGTAGCAGGGCAGGTTCCGACATTAACAGTGACCCGAGAGCCCGGGGCTACCGCATGACTGTGTTGCGCCACCCAAAGCTGACCGACCGGGCCACCAGTCCAAATTTCAGAAATAAATGTGATGACATCAACACATTTTTGCATTTTTGCTTTTTTACTATCTTTTATACCTGAAGTTTTATCCCCCCCCCCAAAAAAAAGATCAATCATCTTTGCTTTTTTTACCCCCGCATTGCACTAGGTACTCGCATGCATTTTAGACACTGCATCTACACGTGTCATAATGTCATCCACGGGTGGGCCTTAGATATAAGGATGTAAAAAAGAATTTGAATCTGAAAATCAAACTCAATCATTCTAGTTTTTTATATATCAAGATATGGCATTAAATAGTATTTATTTTTATTTTTTTTAAATATGTACCAATTGAACCGATTTTAGCCACTGAGACTATACGCCTCACTAGTTCATGCACAGGTAAGCCAGAATGTATAATTCTGAATTGTGTGATGTATTGTTTAAAATCAGGGCCAGAGCAAGTTCTGGAAGGGCCAATGCAACTTGGCTTATAGTGGCCCAACACGGCTTAATATATGTAAATATATTATTTGCATCGTTCCAACAAATTAATGCTGTGGGATGAAGACTGCAAAGAATTTATGTAAAATTGAGAGAAAAAAAGAAGAAATATATTTAAAGAACTGATGTTGTTTTTGGGTGAAATTCCGAGCTTGTGTGTGCTCCGAGTGACAGTGGGGACAGATGTCTTACCCGCTGTTTTGCAGCTCCTCCAGGTTGGAAGCGTTCCACTCGGAGCCCTGGAGACAGCACGGCTCTTGTCAATATTAAGCTATCGGATGTTGTGCGACAAGCTCTTATTTGACACAGTCGCTGTGACGACCTCGAAGTGAGCCAAGTCTTATTAATCATTAACTAGAAGATGATGCAACGGCAGCCAGAGTCATGGTAAAAGAATAACAAAAAAGGCTTTGGGGGTTCTTACCAGGTAAACATGTTCAAAGATCTCTGTGGGGCTGTCCATTTGTCCAAGGATCACAATCATCTCATTGTCTATGAACTCCTTAAACTCCCTCAGATTGCAGACCATGTGCATCTCCAGCTCTGTGCGGATCTAGTCAAATAAAATACGGCACACCAAGCGGTCAAAATAAAAGCGTACACTTGACCAAATGTGCGAGAAAATCTTGAGTTCCTGTTCAAAATCACCATTTTCGATGGCCTGCTATGCCCTACAGCAAAAATATTCCCACAAATGTACAGTCGGTCTAACCCATACTTAAGCACTGTTTAAACGCATTCTACATTATGTCCGTAGTGTAGTCGGGGGTGACTGCTCAAAACCTCATTGCGGCGAGTTGAACTGAACTATACAAGGAGACGAAAAGTCGGTGTGCTGCACCTGCAAATACGGGACATGTGATCTCTCGCTTCTCACCTCTTTGCTGGTAACATTCTCCAAGTCCTTCTGCATCATGATCTCCCTGAGGCGCATCTTGATAAGTCTCTCCGTGCGCTCCCTTTCTGTGGGCCTGTGAAAAAAAAAAAAATAAACACACATGTATTTAAATAATTAAATCACACAATCTCTTCAACATGCACAAGCATAAAAAGAAGTGTCATGGCGTCCGTTCACTGAATTGTTTGAGTGCCAATGAGATGGCTTATTTCCACAAAAGAATGAGCGCTTTGTCCAATTCTCCGAAAGTGGAGTGGGAAGAGAAAATGTGAGTGTCAGACACGACAACGTTTCCTGGTAGAACACTCCTGCAATCTTGTCCGGTGCCATTTTAGACATTTCGCCATTGAACTGATGATTTCAAATGGCCAATTTACCTTCTTCAAAGTTCCTTGCGCCAAAGAATTGGGTCAAGCTGAGGACGTGCTGTAAAATGCCGAGTCAGTAGGCTTGTTTATTTGAGTGCAAGACGTGTTCTTGAGCGCTGCGGAGTAATTTCTCCGGCTTGAGAATGGCTATTCTCCTTTGCCAACAAAGACATCGCATACCGCCTTGACTGAACCCTTCAAAAGCTCTGCCTGGCACAACCACAGACAGCCTGAGGGCACTTGAATACAGACACCCGCCCCCGCCGCCCGAAAATTCATTTACATATGTATGACAACACGATTACTGGTGATGATAAAAGACAACCCATTCTCTGCCTCGGTTGACTTCACTTTCAGTGACATGAAAACAGCAGAATATCACTGGGGAGTTTGTGCTTAGATACCAGATTGATGTGTGCGTTTGTGTTTGAGTGTGTGTGTTTAGTGGTCATAAAACATGGGTGGCCACCTTATGAAGTCCAATCGAAAACAAACAACCCTTGCTGGGAAAGAGTGACGTGTTCATGTTCCCAGAAGGGCAGCCTGTACCTGTGTTTTTTTGTTTTTTTTTGGGTGGTTTGGGGTGGGGGGATGGGGCAGCTACGTCGTGTCCGAACAGAAGAGATCTATTTAAATCATCCGCTGCCGTTGAACGTGTAAATGTACTTGCCCGCCACCTGCTTCTGTCTCTCCAGTGTTGCTCTACTGATCTGTGTCTGGACTCTACTTTTCCAAATGTAAATCAAGACAGCGAATGGCTCAGTTATTCTGGACACTCCAGAATCTCGGTGAGAAACACACACACGATCCAAATACGTAATGGGACGCACATGACTACATGACTAGGCAGAATGGAGGGGACTTTCTTTGGCATTAGTAAAGCCATAAAACCTTATGGGACTGTTGACAACTTTGTCATCGAGTTTGCCAACGAGTTTAAGTGTCGATAGCTTAGCCCACGTGCCCGTTTATTTGGTCTTCGTCTATGACGCCTTTCCGTTACCCGAAGGTTCATAGCAAACACGTGGACGCTCTTGCTCAGTGTTCTGTGGAAAATTGAGCAACGAACCTGAATGTGAGAAGTAGTTAAGCAATTCTCTGAGACGTGATGTCTGACTGAGGACATACCCTGCCTGGAGGTGGTTTTCAGTAAACATACACGTAAGAGAGATGTTTTCGCTTAATTGTTTTCTAACTGTAGTAAATTTAGTTCGTGAACACTCAGTGCTGAATAATACGCAAGCGTGAACGGCCCAGTGGAAAAAAGGCTAATTATTTTAAATGGTGGAAAATTTTATGAACGTAAGTTACTCTTCTACTCACAGATCGGTAAAGAGAACAGGTGAATTGGCACGATGTGACTCAACATCCTGCATGGCGTTCCATTCGTTGATGCAGAACTGGTTGGAGGAGATCCTGCTCTGATAATAGCTGACCCATGTCAGGAACAGACTGCCTGGGTAGTAATTGTGGCAGCGGGCAACATCGCACGCTTTGTGGAGTGACTGAAGAGCCGACCTGATGGGGGAAACAAAAGCAAAGCTTCCCAATCAATATGGAGCTTCTTCAAAAGGTCATTATGTGGCATCTTAACCAGGGAGATGTGCTGAATGGGCGGGACCAGACTGCAGAGTCGTGTGTGGAAAGTGTACAGAGGTGACAGAACACATTTCTGAATTAACAACAAAACAAGGAACGAAAGCATGAAACCACATATAGAAAGCTCTCACTACTTTCTTATGTTCGCGGTGAAAATCCTTATAGCCATAAACACGTATTCAGAGCAAAGACTAAAATGATGCTTACCACATCGCCTGGACTGAGACTGGCTTGAAAACATGAACTCGATTCACAGTGGACACGCTGAAACCTCTGCAGAGGGAAAGAGGCACAGTTTCAGAAATACGGACAACTTCCAGCTCAAGGTGTAAACCGGGACGTACCCATCGCCATCCAAGTGGATCAGAGTGTCACTCCACAGAGGCAAAACCAGGCCCACTGTACAGCAGCTATCGGGGACATTCAGCATGTCAAATATCAGAGAAAATGGTTCCACGTATTAGAAGAGAAGAGTACCGTATTTTCCGCACTATAAGGCGCTTTGGAGTATAAGGCATAGCTTCAATGAATCTCCTATTTTAAAACTGTTTTCATGTATAAGTATAAAATACTACCGCCAAGAAATCAGAATGCTGATCCATTTATAAGGCGCATCGGATTATAAGGCGCACCATTGGCGTTTAAGAAAGTGGAATGCTTTTAGATGCACCTTATAGAGCGGAAAATACGATAGCTTCTATGTTTTCATTGGAATTTTGATTCCCAAAAAACAAACAAAAAACATGCTTTTTCACTGCTCATTTGCAAAGGGCGGGAACCCTCTATCGCGATTTTTGTGCTAACCTGTCAGAGGAATAGAAGTCCATTCCAAGAACGATGCATTCCTCTGTGTCCTGCCTACCATTGGTGGAGACCACCACCATGTAGCGGGTTACCTGAGCGTAGGAACTCTCCAGACGCACAGCCTTGACAGATCAGGAAGAGAAAAAGACATTTTTTTTAAAAAATGAATCAGACTTCTTTATGTATGTGATTAGCACTTTCGTCATGTTCTTGCCCCGTTTAACACAAGCTGTGCGTTTATCCTAAAATGAGAAGTGAAACGCAACAATGCTTACAATCGGTAGTAGCATAGTAGCTAAAATGTGCACCCCCCCAGGATGCGATTGGTTACAAAATTGTTGTGATCAATTCAATCCAAACCTTATTCATTACGTACATTAGCTATTCGATCACAGTCACCCTAAATTATACACAGTATTTGAATATGTGTTTATGTCTTTAAACTGTATAGGTATGAATGCAAACATACGGGTGGAATCTTTGTACCTCCAAAATCATCACTTTTCAGGAGACTCAAAAATGTTTTTTCAAATATCGCCGAAGAGCGAAAGTCATTGCCAAAACTTTAGATCGGTCAATACTTTGTAAAAATAACACCCACACAGGTGGACTGACCAAGAGAATAAATAGACTTGATTTTAATGTATTTCATTTTATTGTTTGTTGAATCCATCAGTGGGCAATTGCACAAGTCCACCAATCACTCGTGGCAGGTTTATGTAGAATTGAACACATTTTATACTTGAATTCATGCTACATGCTTCTACTCCAGTTTCGTTTGCCACGTTGCAGGTGTTGCAGCAAAGTATGTTAGTGTGTCTCACTTATACTCACCAGTCGGATTGTGTCTTCCGGCCGCAGCACAGTGAACATAGTCTGAAGATGTTTCTGGAGATCTCCTAGCAAAAACCAGATGCATTTAGTCTTGGTTTATCCGGGCATTCTTGACAGTTTAACGTAAACATCAGAACCATAATACTGTGTCATTTTGCCTTGGGCAAATTTCAGCTACACTGTCTTCATTTTGTCCATCTGGAAATACTGCAGTGAGCCTTCTTTGTTTCAAAATATGGTGGCATTTTGAGAAACGTTTTAATGTTTACAGTTTTGCCACATCCTACACCAATTTAATTTTATTTATTATTATTATTTTTTTAACATTATGTAGCACATGGATTTTCATCATCCAGCAGCAAATAGCCCCCAGGAACCAACAGTAAGGTTCTAAATAAGGCTATGAGAGCTAATGAGAAGGAGGTCATTGTTAATGCTGTTTATGTATATCTTTAACCTGTGTGCTTGTTCCAGCGCTGGCTGATGTGAGGTCCAGAGCTTGGCGTGGGACTATTTCCTCTCGGGAGGAAAAGGGCTGCTCCTTTTACAGTGAGGAAGCTCTCGCTGATACTGTAAGAGAAGGTAAAAAGTGGTCATACACTTCAAGCACTGGATGGATGAATGGATGGACGGACACACACATGGACACGCACATGCACACACAATTTCTCCATTTAACAAGCAAACTATGTTGTCAGCCATTTTAATACTTGCTGGTAACTAAGATGAGACTGCTAAAAAAAGAGCTAAGATATCAATTGTTTAATCAATTTATGTCATTGAGTTTATTGTCACATGTCTGAGTGGTGTGGTCCCAACAATGATGTCATTGTCACAGCTCTTGATTCATGCTGACTTGGCAGGATTCACCCCAAATCAGAACAAAAACAAGCTAAAATGTGAACTCAGAACACAATGTTCTCTGCTCCTCCACACAGCTGGATTACACACACTGAACGCATTCACTGTAGCAGCTGTGAGCAAAGAGGAATAGCGGGACTGGGAGGAGACAGAGGGTCTGAGAGGGAAGATGAAGCCAGGCCCCCCCTCCTCCGCAATGTTTGATAGGGATAAACGTTGGCCAGCACCCAAATCTCTGGACCAAAGTTGATCTTCTGTTCCCCTTTTGAACACTTAATCGTATTAAGCATGACCGAGGTCACTGCTTTGAGGGCGATACTGTACGTTATAAAAGTGAGAACAGTGTTTTGGGAGACAAAAGACAGAGGGTGTGTTCTATGCGGAGCATGGAAGTGTCAGGAACAGTTCTCTTTTTTTGTTAAGAGGCACCATGTTGCCCGCTCACCTTAAAGATTCATCAGCCAATAACGACAGAGTCAAATGACACTTGAATAACAACCACTTGACCAAACATGTTTGAGCAATTTGCACACCTCAAGGTAATGAACGCGCGTACAGCTTTGCAGAAAAGCCACAACTACAACTCACGGAGACTGCTGTCAGTCGTAATCACCATCCAGATGGGGCCCAAACTCAAAATAAATTCCATTGTTATTTTTAACACTTATAACGCGGTCAAGATCAAATGTTCTCTCATTTTGAATTTGATGCCTGCAACAGGTCTCAAAAAAGCTGGGACAGGGGCAAAAAAAAAAAAAAGACTCGGAAAGTTGAGGAACGCTCAGATCAGGTTGAAATAGTGGAGTGTCATGAAGGGATATAAAAGGAGCGTCCCCGAAGGGCTCATTTGTTCACATGAAAGGATGACGTGAGGTAGACTACTTTGTCAGCATCTGCGTGAGCAAAAAGTCCAATCGTTTAAGAACAATGTTTCTTTAATTGCAAGGAAAATTGTGATGTCATCACTGACATTCTATGATATCATCAAAAGATTCAGAGAGATGTATTTTGTCAATCGCAAAAACTTTTCACGCAAGCAGCAAAGGCTGAAAAACGACATTGAATGCCGATCTCTCACAGCATCAAAAACTCACAAAGAACTTTACCAAAAGTGGAAAAAGCGTGCTGTGGTCTGACGAGTCCACATTTCAAATTGTTTTTGGTCATGGTGGATGTTGTGTCCTCTAGTCCAAAGAGGAAAGGGGACCAACCGGATTGTTGTCAGCATAAAGTTGAAAAGCTAGCATCTGTGATGGCATGGGGTTGCGTGAGTAGCCATTGCATGGGAATGCTGAAAGGTACATCCATGTTTTGGTTGGGTGGGAGCAACATATGCTCCCAGTCCAAGTCTTTTTCATGGATGGCCCTGCATATTTCAGCGAAACAATCCCAAAGCACAGCAAGGCTTCGTTGTTGAAGAGTGTGAGGATTATACTGGCCTGCCAGGAGCCCATACAAGTCACCCATGTGTGCCACATTATGAAGCGTTAAATTCAACAATTGTTTAGCAATTGAAGTTCAGGCAAGACTGGGAAGGAATTCCACCCACAAAGCTTCAACAATTAGTGTCCTCAGTTCCAAAACGTTTAGTGAGTGTTGTTAAAAGGAAAGGGGGCGTAACAGAGTGGTATGCATGCCCCTGTTGTTTGCACCGCATCAATCATGATCATTTATATTTTTTTAAATACTTTTTGTTCTTCTACGTCTCCCTTTCATTATTTTGCTGCTGTAAATTGGGAATTTCTCCATTGTGAGACAGATCAAGGTTTTCTTATCTTTACCCCTAAGCATTTGTTTGATATCTTACTATATGATAGGGCAAAGCATACTGTGCGGAATTTTGAAAGAGCTCTTGCCATGGATGTCATCAGATTATTCGAGAACCTGATTTTGTGACTCACGACCAGTACAGTAGGAAGAAAAAAAAAGGAACCAGAGAGAGAATATAGAGAAACTTGGTAAACCTGTTCTAGTGACCGGAAATACGGGTGGTTTCATCGCCACTGGGGTTTGTAAGGAAGATGAGGAACTGACACTTGAAACGTGTTGAAACACCACAACTCACACACAATGTCAACATAAAAAGTCAAAACCTTTCGCAGGTACTAATGGTTTGGTTTACCAGCGATGATTTCTTGTTTCTACTTTACACTCACTGAACCTAGTATGCAGAGTTCAAAGGGTTCTCGAGCGGGTCTATTTCAAACGCTTCCACTTGTGTAAAACCGAGTTTTTAGGCAGCCTACCATCCCGCTTATTCCTCAGTAACTTAATCGCTTCGGTCCTCCAGCCATTCAATCTTCCTTCCTGAGTTTTGCTGAGACCACGGATGTATAGCATGCAATTGCGATGGACGGACAAGGCCGAGAAAGAAAAACACAAAACGACAGCCATGTGCAGTGTTCATTTCCCGCAACTTAGCCAACCCTTGATCCAGCTGTTTCCTCTCACTCCCCCCTGCATCACATCCTCTTTTGCGCATTCCGCACGTCTTCCAATTTGGTCAATATATTCAATTCCACAGCAATGCAAAGCTATGCTATGGTACACTGTCATCATCAGGAATACATCCTTCACTGCGAGTGGTAAACGGAAGGCTGTGCCCGTCGTGCACAATCACCCACTTTCAAACCCTGCACGGAGAATGGAATCTTAGCTTGAGAATTGGAGAGGTTGTGGGGTTGTATGCTAAAGGACGGAAGCTAAAAACAGACCGGTCCTTTAAAAGTGTCGGCTATTGATAGATGGCATTCAGTTCGTGTCAGTCACTTACTGTACATAAAATGCTTTTGTGGGTTCGCGATGACACAACACGCTGCAGAAGTTCAAATGGGTCGCCTGCATTTGCAAATTAGGAACGTTGTGGAATCGAAGGCTATGAGAACTTACACAGGGTCCTCTAACCGCATTACAGGTGTCTAGTGGGGGCTAATGCAATGTGGAAGTAAAAGTTGGAAAATGAGTAATGGATGAACTAAATACTGAACTGTTTCCTTGCCTCAGGTGCCAAATGGCATGTTCATGCAGGGTTTGTTTTCTTTGTTTTGTGACAAGGGCAGTTCTCGACCTGCTTCATTTTAAGTACCGTAAGATAAATTCTGTTGTAAATTGTTCTAATATAAATAAAGCGGACTTGACATGGTAGGTGAAAAGGCTATTTAAGATACTGGATAAGTTAGGAAGAGTCTCCATTGGATTTTTATTTTTTCAGCCATTGAAGAATAGAGGCAGGGCGGCATGTCAATCAGTCAGAGACACAATCATCACTATGTAAGGGCCACTCTACATGGCAGGCAGATAAGTGAACCCCCTCAACCAGCCTGTGCCCATATTAGTCACTGTGAGTTGGGATAAATTTAGGGCTGTGCTTAGTGCAGGGAGAGGCTCATAAGGCTTGAAACTTGCATGCACCCCGTGGGAAAGACCATGGCCATAGGTGCATGTTAAGCCTTGCTGCTTAAAGGGCTCACTGTGGAAAAATGTGCTGGAGGACGGTGAAGTTCCAAATGGAGTAGTGCAACACTCGTGTGAAAACCTTTCATTGGAGGCTCAATCTGTTATGCATCCCCACAACACCAACGCCAAGTTCTGAATTCCAGTCTGACTGCAGAGTACTAGGCAAAAGGGGACTTGCAGGGAGGCAGCAAATGTCGGAAGTCTGCACATAAAACACACAACTAACAGAGGTGGGCATTTCGTCAAAACTGACTGAAGGCCTGTCAATCCATTAATGACAGACGTCCGTTTTGCTAAAGAATGACAGGAAACCTATATGGAGAATAGCCGACACCTATTAATAGAGAGTTGCATGTTTCATTTTATTATTTACAATTTCAAACAGTTGGCAGGTGTCTTAAAAATAATGTCTCTGTGACGTTCTTTAGTCAAAATACTCCAAGGATGAAGAATTACAGCACACTTCCACACAATTTCTAAGCCTCTAGAATTCATCCTAATGGGGGTCGGGTTTAGGTTACTAGCTTTTGATACCAAGATGACCAGGGGCATAGGTAACGGGTCTAGACGAGTCAACCGGATCATACTATTTTGGAAAGCTTCCTGCTTCCAAAATACATACGCTCATAAAGACTAAAACATCATGAAAGCATTTTCACTCATGGGATTAACAGTGATTGGACCCGTGGATGTGGCACATGCAGCCGTCACATCACCAAATAACAATCCTTGCTCTGCTCACTCGCGGAGCTTGGCTGACCATTCGAGTTGATGCATCTTTTCAAGAAGTTGAAGATGTGAGTGAACATAAATTGGAAATCTTCTCCCCAAGCTAGCTGGGCGGTGAAACTGCAGGGGTGGTATTATGTACCGGTAAATTTGCACACCACTATTCCACAGTGAGGTCAATTTAAGAAAGGCTTGCACACAGACACATTTTTGGAAATATATGTTGGAAGCACAGTAAATATGTACATGGTTGTGTCTACAGAATGAAAGGACAAGCACTCCAGAGACCCAACTATTTGTTTTTACCAGCAATGAAAAAGTCAATTTTCCTTTATGTCCCCTGTCATTAAATAATCAAAGTTTTGACCAGACCCCAAAGCTCCTCCTGAAATCATATTTTTTCATTGTACTTAATAACATTTGGTAACGAGGCTATGCTTTGTCAGAACAGTCATCGGTGAATTGCAGATGTAACAAACTTTGAATGAGAACATTAAAAAAAAAAAAAAAAGATATATTGCAACAGCTCTGATCACAAGCTGTAACTGCATACTGATGACCACTCACAACTTCCCGTGATGCAGGTCACGCGCCATCGTAGAATAAAAGGTGACCTGCTTTTTAATTTAATTTTATTTTATTATTTAAATACGTTTTTTGTGCAGTGTACACTAGCACAGAAATATATAATATTAATAACACGCACACAGACACACCAACCCCCCCCCCCCAACTTCCCCTACTCTCAAAATGTATCAATGGCTATTCGTCCATTAGATTAGTTGACTACCATTTTAATAATTGAGTAATCATTTCGAACTACTGTTTAATTTAATATCGTTTATTCCTGAACTCCTCTGAGATTGGCAGCTGATGCAAAGTCGCCGTCAGTCCTTGTTCCTGAGTGGGAATGTACCAACCCCGAAATGGGCATGTATTGGAATAATGAGCCAAAATCCTACATCACAACAACAAATTCAAATCAGAGCCGTTTGCCTTTAATCGAACATTTGCAACCAGTCCACAAACTGCATACACTTAGAAAAGGTCACAGTCTTAATTTGGTAAATCGTGGGAAAAAAAACTTTGATTTTGATGAAAGGGCGCCTTTCATCAAAAAAGATTCAAAGGGCTTCCTTCACAGGCAAAAACACTGCAATCAAAACTCGAGCTGCCCTTGACTTCCCCAAACCCATGACAGAAGGCAATTTCTCATGGAGAGCTCTGCCAACTGCTGACTGAACAAGAATGTTACGAAACACCCAACAAAACACAGACAGGGGAGACGCATGAATTGATTTCCTGGAAAAGTGGATTAAGTCACTCATGAATCAAGTATTCAAGCCTTTTCAACCCTCAGTTTTTTTTTCTCTTTGCATGATCACAAATATCTGTTCCACATGAGTTTAGACTTTACAATAAGCTTTTAAACTATCCCTTGACATATGCATTTAGTAAGCAGGTGGTCCAAAAACTGGTCCTAAAGAACACCCTGCGTTCTGCCGTTGGCCAGTGTAGGAAGGATCTTGGAGGTTTAAGTAAGTTATTTTCAACTAAAAAGGAAACATTTTCTGTTTCTTGAAGTGGCTGCGTTACAGCACTGATGTACACTCCAACATGTTTTTGAAAAAGTAAATATGAGGCTTGATTAAGTGCTCTGGACAACATGAGGTGTAGACAAAGTGCAATATCACAGTACGTACACTTGATTTAGCAGTGCCATTATGATCAAACTAGATTTTTCATTTCTTGAACTATGACGTTTTTTCTTTTGGCCAAAGTTAAATTAGGAAACCATTCAAAACCCATTGAATCGGGACTCACCGGTTAAACGATAAATGAATAGCCAACACAGATTTTGGGTGAGTCCGAGATCTACTAACAGGTAATACTGGACATGGACATCAATCAATTATTAGGCTTTTTATTTTAAGTTAGCCCAAGGAAATAATTATGGCAACTGACTTGACTTTGAATGGAGACTGGCCTGACTGCTGTCACACTGAAAATGTTTGGTATGTAAATGCACATTGACCCAATCAAATCTGGAGAGCGCAAGAATATTTTCAGCACGTATGTGCACCTGCACACCACTTATGCACCCCTGTATATGGTCTAACAAAGACCGCATATTTTGTTCCATTTTTTAAAATTAAAATGTGGTCAAAACCAAACGCTAAAAACTGACTAAAACGGATGTTAAAGCTGTGGGTGTTTTTTTTAAAAGGAACAAGTAATGTGACAAAACCGACCTATTTCATACAGGCGGGGGGGGGGATCTTTGGAATACCACGATACTATTCCCTCAGTTGCTACCGGAGTATTCGTGGTTGTATTAAGTTTAAAAAAAAAAAAATAACACTGGTACTATTTCTCTCCAACTAAAACACACTGCATTAGACCATCGGCCAATTCCCCACTCTCTCTTCTCAGGTGGTCTAACATCAAGCAAACAATGCCTCATATATGGCCCTGTAAGACACATGCTCAGTACAGACAACTTTCTATGTCTCAATAAGGTCAAACAGCAGTGATGATGATCATGACGACGATGATGAGTAAGACCGTGGCTGCTACGTCGACAGGAAGTACACTGAGTACATGCAGAGAGTATATTGCAAAACTTTTACGAATGTCACAATTTCCAAACATGAAACATCCCACCCAAATATATGAACACACACACACACACACGCACACACACACACACACACACACACACACACTAAAATCGGTTGTTTTAAGTTAAGCACATAATAATACAACGCAATACAAAATAATAAAGGGCAATAAGGGAGAAACGTGATTCCCAATTCGCTATATAAGAAACCACTTACAGTTGGTTGATTCCATTATTTGAAACCACCGCGTCGTCCGTGAAGTAAGGCACCATTTTGGCCCCGCAGCAAGAGCAGAAGCTGACCGCCGACGAGTTGTCAGAGCGGGACACCGTGCCGAGGGTCATGTCGGCAGCTTCGTGGAGCCCGGGCAGGAGGAAGTGGACAGATGTCAGGTGCTCTCCGGTAGAGGCAAAAACTTTTACTGTACTCCCCCACGCGTCTGCTCCGCCATGGCAAAAAGACACGCTCCGAACCACTTCCCTAAACAATAGAGTGGTATTCCGTAACAAAAAAAAAGAATGCCAGCTGAAATAGATGCGAAGTTTGTTTCCCGTCTCACAAAAGAGACACCGGGGATTAGCACACAATACTTCTACTCAGTGTTGTACAAGTCTTGATTCGTTATCTTTCTGTTTCCTAAACATTATGTGAGTTTTTTCCCCCACTCAAATGTGGCACACGACCGGTTTGTACAGTAGTGGGACTACTGACAGGGTTCACTTCATTCCAGTCACAGCAGGGAAAATTGCAAGGCACGTGCTGTGGGCGGGCAGAACGAGGACAGCCAATGGGTAAGAAGCAGATGGGACAATGAGATGGGGAGCCAATGAGAACACGAAGAAGGCAAGCCCGGCGAAATAGGAAGCCAATGACAGCGCGAGGTAGGCGGGCCCAAGTGCGGAGCCAATGAGGGCAAACGAGGAAAAAAAAGAACAAGCTATGCTGAGCCATTTCTGCAACCATTCGAAGCAGCTGATCACACTGTTTACGTACTCTTCTCTGCCGAACGTGTGTTAATCCAAGTATTTACTGGCAGTGCATCGAGTGGTTGATTGTCCAGCCACCGCATGGCTTGCTATAAATACCACTCTCAGTGCAACGCCATGAATCTTGGAACGCCTAATAATAGCCAGACGGGACCCTACTAACCTCAAAAAGACAAACGATAAACGGGGTCAAATAAAGTAGTATCGTATGCTACTATTTGTGTTATTTCATTGTACTGGGAAAAGTGGATAATAATACCCACTAAATTACACAAACAAATGCTCAAGCCAAAGTCTCATGAGTTCATTTGTAGAAGTGGATAAATCTGCACGAGTGTTTGACTTGCCTTCGAGATGACTTTGGCCTCTCCACACCCAAATCTTGTGCTTCTTACATAAGAAGCAAAGTAACATGTGAAGTAGACATCTGGAGTCATCTGCTGCTTAAGTGGAATGTGACCCCATGTGGAGATGAACACGCACTGGTCTTCTCAGCTAAGTTTGAATTGAACAAAGTATAAATTACAAATTAAAAAAAAGTAGCATACCAAGTTAACTTAAAACGCTTCTTAACCTTCCATTGCATGCATTCGTTTGAAAAGAAGTCTACCTTGGAGCCACTTATGTAAGAATAGTACTGTAATCCTGTTTTTGTGTATGAATTACATGTACTGTGTCTCAAATATTGCCTTGCATGCAAGCTTTATCTGCTTCCACGTTCCCAACAAACTTTGTGGCCAACACACTGTTTAACTCAATTGTGTGATCCAGGCTTCCTCAAAGTAAATGCTGTTATGTCATCTCTCTGAAATGGATATTATTATTATGTTTTTAATAATGATAATTCAACCTTTTATGCATTAGACTTGCTTGACTTTGTTGAGGAATGTTTAGAATTAAAAAAAAAAAAGAAAAAAAAAAAGGACTGTGGGATTTGGAAGCCGCGCGTTTGCTCACATGTTCATGGACTAGGATAAGGTTGGGGTTGGGGTCAGGGGCTCAGGTTACACTCAACCACTGCCAGAGTGAAAATTAATTGAAAATGTTAATTTAAATTAAACCCCAAAATATCCCCACCCACCCACCCCTAAAAGGGCTTGTATTGAAAGTTGGATGTGTTGTCCAAGTCCCTGTGCCCACAGATCACAATTATTTTTTTGTCCCACACCGTTTGTCCACTTTTTACCTGGATGTATGTGACGTCAAAATAAGCATATTCTCAAAGCCGCTTGGTAGCTGCAAACACTCATCCCTATCTACGTAAACTGTTTTGACTTGATATGTATTTACATCGCGAGAATAGCACAGTGTATCTCGTATCCTTGTGTAGAAAATGTCCAGTGCGTCCTGTCGACAATTGAGCTATTTTCGTGTTTGTTCAAATAACTGTGATTGGCTTCATATGCGTGGCCAGAAGTAATTTACACTGAGTGATGAGACCTTTTTTGAATTAAAGAGATGTTAAAATTAAATAAGACACACACTGTAGCTCGTTCTTTTTTGACAGAAAAAAAAATGTTTTGGGGACTTTTTACTAGCCCCCTCACCCTACCCCCACCCCCCAAATAAAATAAAATAAATACAGATGGTATTACTTTGTGACTGGATTGTCAAGGGCGCGGAGGGAGAACTTTCACCTGCCAGCACAAAGGCTTCGCAACACATGACAAGGCTAAAAATAGATTAGCTTTCGAGCTCACATACAAACTATGGCAGCACAGAATGATCCAGGAGTGAACAAGGTTGAGTTTGCTGCAATGTCTTATTTCACGGATCCGTTCGACGACGTCATTGATAATTCGTCATTGAAATTATGAAATTCCAGGCGATCGGTGATTTGGTATAAAATACTAAATATCGAACGATTTCGATCCACTCGTCGGATCGGTGCGAAGTCAAATAAATAGCAACCAATGAAAAACCATATAGAGGCATAGTTTGGCAGGAATTTTGTTATTTTTTTAATATATAATCTATGTAACATAACTATCATTTTCATCCATTCACCATCCATTTTCTAATCTGTTGATTCTCACGAGAGTCGCGGGCGTGCCGGAGCCTATCCCAGCTGTCTTCGGGCAGTAGGCGGGGTACACCCTGAACTGGTGGCCAGCCTATCGCAGGGCGCACATAGACAACCACTCATACTCCCAATCACACCTAAGGGCAATTCAGAGTGTTCCATTAACCTGCCAGGCATGTTTTCGGAAAGTGGGAGGAAACCGGAGTATCCGGAGAAAACCCACACAAACAAGTGGACAACACGCAAACACCCCACAGGAAGGTCGGAGCCGGAATCGAATCCTGCACCTCTGCAATGTGAGGCAGACGTGCTAACCCGTCGCCCACCGCGCCGCCCCCTCATTTCCAATGAAATAAAAACAAAACCAGCGGTTCTGAGCAATGTATGTACTTAACGTCAACCGCAACTCATAATGAATGTTGATATTCAACATTGCTCTCTCCGTGTGACCTGCTCAGAATAGAACTGATTACATCACAAACGACACAAACATGCCAGCACCTGCTCTGCTTTCGCCACGCTTCACCACACATCGACTCACCTTCCTCTGTACAACTGTTGCATCACAAAGTCATTTAGCTAGTGTCCTCTCCTGTTAGCACACAACCCAAACACAGCTGCTCTGATGCTTTAGTCATGAGGTTCAATTTAGAGTGGTCAAATTAACTGGCCTTTGGTGGGAACCTGGATTGCGGGCTGGTAACATGAGAGGGAGGTTGTTTGTTGTTGAGCAGAGCTCTGGAGAAGTTACACAACTGGACTCTGAGCAAAGGAACAGACACATGGAGGTCAAAGATGAGCTGAAGTTTGAACTCAATTAGGTCACGTTATAAAGGGCCACAGGAGATCCTTCATTCAGGACTAGGCCAAAAGTGTTGAACTCATTTTTGTCGTGGGCCACTTTGGAGCGACCTCTTCCCTCGGAGGGCCGTTATGACAGGGAAACCGAATAAATGTTTCTCAGCGTATTAAAACTTGTACACGCTAAACTGACGGATTACTAGTTTTGAAACCACTCAGGTCAACTAGTTATTTGTTGTTGAGCAATTGTTCTTCAAATGAGGCGAACAAAATTATTGCAAAAAGTAAACGTTATTTATTCCACGTGACAACTTGACATTTCGGTACAGATTTTAGGAAGGATCATGGAAGTTGACAACCATGATTTGCTTTTGAGGGCCACATAAAATGTCATGGTGGGCCAGATCTGGCCCCCGGGCCTTGACTTTAACACCCGTGGACTAGGTTATATGGACAAAATGTCATGGCGGGCCAGATCTGGCCCCCGGGCCTTGACTTTGACACCTGTGGACTAGGTTATATGGATATGACTTGGCGACCAGTCTCATAGTTTGCGCCGTTGCTTCTCCATTCCAACAGGCATCAATCAAGTGGGGCGGGATCAAGACAACCGTGTGAGACACCAACTGCCCACTCGAGGTGTGTGGGGTTCTGCCACAGATTTGACTGGTTTTACGGGATCAAGACAACCGTGTGAGACACCAACTGCCCGCTCGAAGTGTGTGGGGTTCTGCCACAGATTTGACGAGTGGCCGAGCATCGGGCACTGGTTTTGCAATCACAGCTTTTTTTTGACAAATTATGTGATGGGCTCGTATTCACAATTCAAACAATCTTATTTATTTTCATCACAAACTCTGGCATTTCAACTGTGGAGTATTGTCTTTATATAGCCTCTGTAAATATAAACGGTTTGCTTAGCTTAATAACATGAATGAAGCACTTTCCCCAAGGCACTGGTTTTGCAATCACAGCCGTGCAACGTGGCAACATCGCAGATTATATACACATACACGTATTAGTGGCTTCACCCACAGGTAGTATCGAACAAATCATGTGATGGGCTCGTATTCACAATTCAAACAATCTTATTTATTTTCATCACAAACTCTGGCATTTCAACTGTGGAGTATTGTCTTCATATAGCCTCTGTAAATATAAACGGTTTGCTTTGCTTAATAACATGAAGCACTTTCCCCAACCCTTTTTTAATTTCCTGTCCAGGATTAGTGTGGAAAGAGGAAATACTGAAATACAGATTGTAGATAAAACAAATACATTGTGACGTTTGCGCCGTCCACAGCATGCGTGTTAAAAGACTCATTATAAGTTCCAGGATTCAAACTTTGAGTGCGTCAAGCCGTCACATTGATGCCGACAAGCAGAGCAGGTTACGTTGGTAAAAAATGTCGAGACTTTGATTTGAACAAAATGAACACACACACACACACACACACACACACACACACACACACACACACACACACACACACACACACACACCCTGACTAGAGATGTTCCAACTCTTCATGCCACACCATTTCCAAGCAATTGCAACTGAGATATAGTCTACCAAGAAAGGTGGCACAATAGTTTCCACCCACACTTTTCAAACACATTCTATCTAGACACAAGCAAAACACAGAATTAGAAGCAGTTTTGTTTTTCATTCATTTTGTAAACCCAAATGTTTTCTCAATTTCGGGTTTAGTTATTTCATGACTTTCCATTGACTAAAATAACCTTGGTACTGTACTGTACTTCCTGTTGATGGTTTCCTTACTACTCAAACCGTTCTTCATGCGTGTAGGATTTCTGTTGTGGTAACGAGAAGCACAGTTGAAGACTATGACATTTCTGAGTGTCATGAAGGTGTTGGGGATTCTGTGTCTTGCTCATGGGCACCTTGGTAA